CATGATACGCGAACCCTGCCTATCGTCTCTCAACAATGTGGCGCAAATAATTAACCGTTCCATTCCTATTGTAGCCACACGCTCTCATATCTATCAAATAAAATATTACTATCGTTTGGATCGCGACTTCTCGATACACTCCATAATTCAGAAGCTATTACACTATATTAAAACCTCATCAAAAAATTAAAATTGCACGTATCCGTCAACCCAAATATTTCGATTTCTAAAATTCTCCTAAAGCGTTCAAACAAATATCCACGCCGTGAGTTCAAATTTAAATTCATCGGTTGCTTGTTAGGCAAATAAAATTTTCCCCTCAGACGCGAATTAACAAATAAAAAGCAGAGATTTCGTCCCGTCTCACTGCGTTTGCGACAGTTTCGTTTCGAGAGACTATTCATCCGTTCTTCAATTCGCGAAGAGAAGTTTCTTGACTTCGTTAACCCTTCAACGAGGATTATTTACTTATCACTGAATAGTCGACGTTGAAACCCACCCTCTTTCGCGTAACCGAGACGCGCCAGGTTTGAAGGGTGGTCTCCCCTCCCCCCCGGTTAATGCCTCCATGACTCGTTTCGAAACCCAGTGGCAAAGTTTTTCACCGAAAACCAAGGAAAATTTCGCGACACCGAGACCTCGCGGGGGCGCAAAATTCAGCTCGTTTTGCTCGACGGTGTTTCTTTCGCGTCGTTCGTTTACGCGTCTATGCAGCCACACGTGCGTCTGCGGTTGTAATCCGTAGTTCGTGCGCGAGCACTCCGCAGGAGAAAGACTCTTGCTACGTCTGGAACGTCGAATCGATATTTGTTCAGCCCCTGCTGCGACGATGAGGCGCAGGGGGTAGTTTGTGTCATGTTTTTGCCAGCGAGCGCTGAAAGGACTCCGCCGCTCGGAATTTCGCCGGCCATTTTCTACGCCACTTGACTCTTTCGCGTCGAATTTGATGCTCGGTGGAATCTTCAGTATCAGAAACTTCAATAGAAACAGTGGAGTTTTAAAAACAGGGTTAATTTCGAGCAAAATTTATTTTTACGCTTTTTGGTTACATTTACACGATTAAAAAATATAATCTGAACGATGTTATTATTGTGAGGTATTCTTTAAGTGTCAGGGAGGGTAGGTGAACTTTTTCAGAATTTTTAGAAGATTTTAAGTTTGGTTATTTAGGGTAGTTTGTGTCAGGTTTTTACAGGAAACTCAATGCTGAAAGGACTCTGGTCCTTGGAATTTCAGCAGCCATTTTCTCCGCCACTTGACTCTTTTACTGGATGAATTTTTAGTATCAAAAATTGTAATTTGAACCCTCTGTGGACACAGAAAATTTTTTAAAGCATTGCTGATTTCAAGCAAAATTTGTTTTTACATTTTTTGTTTACATTTTTTATATTATTATTGCAATATGTTCTTGAAACGTCAGGGATGGTATCTGAATTTTTTCAGAATTTTTGAGACACTTTAATCCTGATTGGTCTTCAAAGACCTAAGGGTGTCCCTGGAGGGTTACATAATTTAGGGGAATCAGTTCCATTGATCTCAACTTTGATATCTTTTGTAGAAGTTGTTCTCACAATGAACCTTCGTCAAATAGACATCGTTCATCGTTTTTTTCACAAAGTTATTAACAAACAAGTTGCAATTGCATTTTCTATTAAAAAGAAAACCTCTAAAACTCCTACTAAAAGTTCCAAAAACACAAGTATGCCTTCACTACACACGTTCCATGAAATTTCAAAGAATTACCACTTAAAAATTTCAAAAAATACAAATTAATATTTCGTCCATCCTTGCTTTACCTAAACAAATCGAGCAAAAGTTATTACGTTATTAATTTTATATTACGAGAGCTTTTCTGCGGAATCGCGTTCCGAAATTGAAATTAAATGCAGTTTCAGCGCGTCCCACGCGGGGTCGAATAACCGTAATTTTATGAGCGAGATTTCGTTTCTTTTTTTTTCTCGAATTCGCGTGCTGGTTCCGCGCGTTGGGAACACTTTTGTCCGAGCGTAATGCAATTCAACGACGGTGACAAATTGCGGGGCCAGAAACGCGTTTTTCTACGCGGTGTGTGTTTGCGTTACGCAATCGTTCGCCGTCGAAATTACTTTTCCGAGCTGGCGGCGAAAGAGCGAGAAACAATAGGATCGTTGTCCGGTTGCCTTGTAATTTCGTAGCTGTAATTTTCGCGCGGCTCCTCCGCTGTCAGAAAAGAGATTTAAAAACCATTCGAAACCCTCGCCCCTTCGTCTCGCGACGCATCGACGAGCACAAAGGAATCCTGGTCTCGATTTCTCCAGCGTGTATCCGACCTCCGCGAAACGTTTTCCTACCGATCGCCAGCAATCATTATCGTTCGTTCGAAATAACAAAAGAAGATGCTGGAAATTCAATCGAGATCGTTAAAAATTAGTCCAAAATGCAATTATAAATATTTAGAAATCGATGACAAACCGTGTGACAACCTCAGAGAATAATTTTATATTGAAATTGTATTGTAAATTGTCTGAAACTGATATTGTATCAAGATCGATACACGATCGTTAATTTTGGAGTAAAGAGTTTCAAAGTTTAGGAATAAAATTTTATCTGTATTTGAAAGCTAGGAGGCCTGTGTTTTTGTAAATTACAAAGGAGGTAGGTGTTCATTTTGTGGGGAAAAATGGGACCAGTTTGTGTAGGATAAAATCATGCACAGAGTCTCGAAACAAGAGCTGTTCTGGTGATTTCAATGCGTGGGAGTAGCAACGCGTGTCCTTTTCTCTATTTCATAGCATATTAATGTTTCTGATGCATTTTGTTTCTCTTCGTATTATAGTTTACCCTGTCTTTTAACAAATTAAAGAAGTATTCGATATTATTACACGTTAGAAAATTAAATAAAATAATTATTGCAATAAATACACGACGATTGGAGAATCTTTGTTCTTAGAATCTTTAGCTTTTCATTAATTCTTTTATTCTATATTTTACGATGTTAATGTTTCTATTATTATTTCTACTCTTATTTGATCGTATCTTCTAACAAACAGGTGAAACAAATATTCGATATTATTACACATTAGAAGTCTAATAAATATTGTAATAAATACACGACGATCAGTGAAACTTTTGTAGACTCAGAATCTGTTGATCTTTCTATTATTATTTCTACTCTTATTTGATCGTATCTTCTAACAAATGAGTGAAACAAATATTCTATATTATTACTCTAAACCTAAATACACAAATATTGCGATAAGATATAGATGTAAAAAGATCCCACAGATTGCTATTTCCGTATTTATTTTAATTAATAATTAATTTCGCGGGAGCGTTAATCAATTTTGTTGATACGTTGAATTAAAGTCAAGCACATAAATTAATGGGTTAAGAAGTTTCGCGTGAATCTTGCGAAGTTAAGGGCACGCTAAACGTCGATTAGCAATGGCGTACGAACTGGAGCTGTCTCCTTCGAGTTAGGGGGATTTCGAAATTAGGTAATTAATTTAGTGGACTGTCGAGGGCATGCTTTCCAGATGACGATCGACTCCCAGGTCCCTGCACGTGCTCAGGCCCTTGAAATGGCGGACGTCGCCTAATATACGGATACGTTTCGAGTAATGCCGTTTAGGCGCAGGGACACGTTAATCGTCGACACTTGGCCGCGATTTACGAGGCAATTTCGATGAACCCCACTGTTCGTGGACCAAATCTATTTTTTTCACGGCGAAATTTCCATTGAGAATATTTTCAAAATTATCGAGAGTCAAAGATTACGGAAAATTTGAACGAGAAAGAATTATTTTTTAATTTTAATTTTAAATAACAAGCCAGTTGATTGTAAGCTATCATTTGGCTTTTTTTATTGTATTAATTTGATTTATAATCGAATGTTGGATTCATTCAAAAATAAAAAAGCTTAGCTTCTTTGTTTCTGTTTTACATCTGTGTTAAAAAATAAATACAAATCTCTGTAGTTTAGTAATTATATACAATGCAATTTTTGTATAATTTCTTTTACCAATCTCGAAGGGAAGAAATAATTCTCAAAGCATGCAGGGGAAAAGGGGTTGAAAATAATTCCTTTGTTCTTAGGTTCTTCACGTTTGCATGCACAAAAAATACAATCTAACCGATATTATCGTTGCAATATATTCTCGAGACGTCAAAGGTGATGCCTGAATTTTTTCAGAATTTTTAAATCACTTCAACCCTGATAGTTCAAGAAGGTAGTTTGTATCACATTCTAGCAAGCAACTTATCATTGAAAGGGCTCTTGTATTCGGAATTTTTGGCAGCCATTTTATATTATCATTGCAATATATTCTTAAAACATCAGAGGTAATACCAGAGTTTTTTCAGAATTTTTAAAACACTCCAACCCCGATTATTTTTATTTTACTTACTGCAAACTATGTGCATCTGTAGGAAAATAAACCACTCTGCGTTAACACTAGATTTACGTACTCATTTATTATTGAAACCCATTATATAGACGGTTGAATTAAAATTTGTCTTTTTATTAAATTTACTATTACTTTTTAATATAAATTGCTAACTGTATAAAATCTGAAACCTGTCAGATCGACCAACCCCCGTAAATTTAGTGTTACAAAAATAAATAAAAATCTCCCATAAACCGGATCGATTGCACTACAATTTTTATATAATTATCTAACCCGTTCCAAGACAGAATAAAATTTCTGAATCTCAAAGGGAATAAATAATTTTCAACGGCCTGCAGGTGCCTGGGAAAAGGGGTTAAAAATAATTCCCCGGTTGTTTCGCGGGATTCACCCTCCTCGTTGGAGTCTCGAACGCACGCGAGGATTATCGATCGTTATCGATCGTTGCTGGAGGCGTTGCAGGAATCGCGTACCGCTTCCTGTTGCGCTCCTTCGCGATAATTGACGCGCCGCTTATTACTCTTATTGTCGACTTTATTCTCCTAGGACAGGGTCGCGGACAATGACCACCGATCGTTGGGTTTACTCACCCGGGACCATCTTTTTCTTTTGCAGAGGCCGAATGCTGCGTCGGCGAAGCTGCCGGGGAGGCGTGCTGGGAACCTTGTTACTGCGTCCTCCTGCAGGACGAGCAGACCCTCACGGCTTACAGGAGCGAGGACATGGCCGTGAGTACATTGCTTCCTTTTTATCCGCCGCGAAAACCACCCTCCAATTTGGCCGGGATTAGCCACCACCTTTTATTATCGACTCACGGGCGCCCTTCTTGTTAAAGAACATCATATTTCGCTTTCCCGTGAACTGGAGTTCTTCATTTTTTATACCAAAAGCGGTGGAGAATAATTTCGTTGCATCCAGCGAGGGCAAATCTCTTGCAATATTCGAGAGATTACTGTCCACGAATAAATCAATTTGTCTCGATTTATTATTGGTGAATATTGTAACTTGTTTGTAATTTTTTGCGTGACCAGAACTCTGATTTTAGAGAATTTTTAACTACACAATTTTGAAATTTTAGTTATTTTTGTGAGCTTCATAAAATTTATGAATCCTGTTTATTAACGTTATTAACGTTCATGCCCGAGTCTGACTGCTTTGAAAAACAATATTTGTTTAATCCAACGGTTTAAGGGATGATAATATTTGTTTTCCCTCAAATTATACGTTAGATACAACATTGTAATTAACAAAAACCGTATTTTTAGAAGCAAATCCAATAAAGAAAACTGATCGTTGTTGGTTAACCCGAAAAATATGAGCTTTAAGGTGTTAAATTTATTGTTTTTGAGGTTTCGACTTGGGAGTTAATTGTGTTAGAATTTTGAGAGAAAAATTAGTAATTATAGAGAAAGCCTGGGGGAAATTTTTCTGTTGTTGTTATTGGGGAATTTTTAGATTTTAGTACTGCAAAAATTCTATCAAGATTAAATTTTACAACTCAATAAGTATTCTTATTGAGACTTGCTCGAGTTGAGGATTATTTTTACTCTGTTCTTTATCAGAATAGTTTATAATTCTCTTACTGTAGACATTTGAAAAAATAGAGTCAAATTTTGCTTATCACATTTGCTTACATACAACTTCAACAATTTTTTTTTTAAACTAATCTACAATATATATCCTTACAAGAAAAACAAAATAAAATCAGTTCAATGGAATAATTTCTAAGAGCACAGATTTCCTTAGATAGAATTACAACAATTTTTTGAACCAATCTATAATACATATCCTTCCAAAAAAAATAAAATGAAATCAGTTCAGTGGAATAATTTCTAAAAACATGTTTATGATCACATTTGCTTATACATGACTTTAACAATTATTTAAACCAATTTACAATATATATTCTCCTAATAAAAACAAAATGAAATCACTTTAATGAAATAATTTCTAAGAGCACACATTTGCTTACATAGAACTACAATAATTTTTTAAACCAATCTAGAATACATATCCTAAAAAAAATAAAATGAAATCAGTTCAATGGAATAATTTCTAAAAACATGTTTATGATCACATTTGCTTATACATGACTCTAGCAATTATTTAAACCAATTTACAATATATATTCTCCTAATAAAAACAAAATGAAGTCACTTTAATGGAACAATTTCTAAAAACATGTTTCTAATCACATTTGCTTATACATAACTCTAACAATTATTTAAACAAATTTACAATATCCTCCTAATAAAAATGAAATAAAATCAGTTCAGTGGAATGATTTCTACAAACAGGAGGCCACATGACTCGAGAGCCACTGATAGTATCAAGCTTGGACATGTTTAACAAACATCTATCGCCTGCTGGTTTAAACAACCAAAGTTTATTTATTCGCGAGAAATCGTAGGATTCCAACCCGTGTTTTCTCGAGGTAGAATTGGACGGTAGATTCAACATCCCCTATGGTTTTCAAACTTCAATCGACAGTCGGCGCTTTGAGACAGTCCGTCCATAATCTCGACCGATATTTGCAGTGGCCGCAGTTTCGGTCAGAAGTCTGAAGTCTTGAAAGCGCTTGGGTATACACAACCGGTCCGGGGGTGGAAACTTTCTAATCGAATTAGAGGATGGCCGCCCCTTTGCCATTCCGACCGTGCGATCAAACAAGTCCCGGAACCCTTTGCAGCGTGTATTGTGTAAACGCGATAAAATGCAGGATTTCTGTGAACGTCGAAGAACTGTGTGTTTGCTTGTACGAATAGAAACTGCACACGCGACTCAACGACGCGTTATCTTGGAAATTAATTTACGACAGAGTTTCTCGAAATTCGTTGGCTTGCAAATTCCAGTCGAATCTTCCAACGCTTGTTTATTTTACAAAATAATCTATTCTTTTGTGTGCAAGAAAGGGTTGCAATTATTCAGCAAATTATTATTTCAAATTTTTATTGTAAATTTATTTTTATTTAAAATAAACTATCCAAACTCGTGGACTTGAATTTATAAAACGATCAGTAATTCATGGAAATTGCAATTTTTAAATTTAACATATAAATTTAAATTCGAGTTATAAATTAAATTCAATTAAGTTTCAAATTTATTCAAAATATTTTCAACCGCGGTATACGATGAAAGATAAATTTTTTCTGTTATCTGCAGAGGTCAACGTACAGACTGATATTAAATTCGAACAAAGTAAAAAATGCAATTTTTCGACGATTCGAGTGTTTGAGTTCGATATCGAATGTGGTTTCGAAAACGATCGAGGCGCGTATCCAGCGAAGTTTGCTGGCTCTCTGACCCACACTCGACGCCACAAAGAAAATCCATCCCGGCGTAAATACGCGTTTTCAGCGGGCCCGGGCGTCGGTGTTCCCCGTTTCCATTCACGCTCCCGAGGGGACTGGCATCGAACGTTTACGTTATTGCGCCGCGTGCATCGCGAACCATTGCACTCTGCGGAATGTAACACGGTTCGCTGCGGATCGAGTCGAAAGAAACTCGATCGAAAAATTTCACCGTGAACATTTTCGCCGTGAGCTCCGTATCGCCGGGGTGGACGCGCTGTAGGACTTCCCCCTGAAAGCTTACTTAACTAATAACTTTCCAACAGAGTTACCGTGACTTCGGCCTCCTCTGTCTCTGCACGCTGCTCCTGCTTTACCATCGCGTGTTTATATTCCTTTCGTTCTCTTTGTGTTTCTTGCTGGATGCGAATCGGCTTCTACAGCCCCGATTAGGCGCGGTTACGCAACGAATGGATAAACGAGTAATTTGTTAAAATTGAAGAGAGCAATCTCTGATTTGTTTCTTGATGGTAAATTTCAATTTTTAGACTGGTTGGATTTGAAAACAATTTTTATTTTAAAGGGAAGCATGGATAGGAGATCAATAATTATTTGAGAAGGATGAAAGCAATTTCTGATTTTTTTTTTGTATTGTCAAAGTTCAAATTTTAGGTAGGTTTTGGAAACAATTTTTATTTTAAAGGCAAGCATGCATAGGAGACTAATAATTATTTGAAAAGAATGAAAGCAATTTCTGATTTGTTTTTTATTGTCAAAATTCAAATTATATACTGGTAGGTTTTGATATCAATTTTTATTTTAAAGGGAAGCATGGATGGGAGACTAATAATTATTTGAAAAGGCTGAAAGCAATTTCTGATTAGGTTTTTATTGTCAAAGTTCAAATTTGATACTGGTAGGTTTAGAAAACCATTTTTATTTTAAAACGAAGCATGAATCGGAGGCTAATAATTAGACTGCGGATCTTTATGCAAATTCATATTTTTATTAATAGAATTAATGAAATGGGAGCTTCGTATATGATTGTCTCAACCATTAAATATAATAATTTGTATCTTACTTTAAGTATTTCTTATATTTTTGCATATTAAGTGCATTCTGTAGTTTCTTGAGAATTAAAATTCCCCATAAATGCATAAACATCCGCAGTCTACTAATAATTATTTGGAAAGGATGAATGCAATTCCTAATTTGTTTTTTATTATCAAATTTTAAATTTTATACTGGTAGGTTTAGAAAACAATTTTTATTTTAAAATGAAGCATGGATAGGAGACTAATAATTATTTGAAGGGGATGAAAGCAATTTCTGATTAGGTTTTTATTGTCAAAATTCAAATTTTATACTGGTAGGTTTAGAAAACAATTTTTATTTTAAAGGGAAGCATGAATAGGAGATAAATAATTATTAGAAAAGGATGAAAGTAGTTCCTGATTTGTTTTTTATTGTCAAATTTTTAATTTTATACTGGTAGGTTTAGAAAACAATTTTTATTTTAAAACGAAGCATGGATAGGAGATCAATAATTATTTGAAAAGAATGAAAGCAATTTCTGATTTGTTTTTTATTGTCAAATTTCAAATTTTATACTGGTAGGTTTTAAAAACAATTTTTATTGTAAAGGGAAACATGGATACGAGACTAATAATTATTTGAAAAGAATGAAAGCAATTTCTGATTTGTTTTTTATTGCCAAATTTCAATTTTTATACTGGTAGGATTTGAAAACAATTTTTATTTTAAAACGAAGCATGTATAGGAGACTAATAATTATTTGAAAAGGACGAAAGTGATCTTTGATTAGTTCATATCGAAATTTAAAAGAAAAGAACTCAATTTTTGGAAGGTGTATCCTGTGAATGTGTCAGTGTCGACACATTTAATTCGTCGGTTTCCGTTTTATTCACCACCCTTCTGGCTGCACAGTTCGTGACACGAACGAACGTAGAAACGCGAGGAGCGGGCGAAGATTTCTTGTTCCGGATCCATTTTGGTCGTAAGATCCCCTAAGCGTGCCCGGCGTCGTGTCTCGGGCTTGGGCTTCTTTTTCTCCGTCGTCGAAAGCTCCGGTAGCGAGAATTCTACTTATTACATTGCTCGAAAGCAAATCCCCCCTCCAAGATCAGCTAATTTTAAGAGTCCAATAGCGAATCTTTGTCGATGCAATTACCCTGTCGCGAATGAGTCGATCTTCTTTTTGTTCCTCCATTCCACTCTGATGATAGCTACTCTTTAAGAGCATCTTTTGTTATACCAACTGCACTAATATTAACATAAAGTATTCAAACATTGCGTAATGGAAAAAAAATTACAGATATTTTCTTTTCAAATAAAATAATCAAAGGTCACATTTCGTGACTAGCAAGTATTCAATCATCCCTCTTGTATGTACCCAACACTCTATTTTATATTTTATT